GTGTACAAACTCATTCAATCTCTTCAATAACTCTAAGGTAAGTATCTTTATTAACTCTATTTTACTTTTTTTTTTTTAATTTTTATTTTGAGACAGAGTCTCACTATGTCAACCCTCGGTAGAGTGCTGTGACATCACAGCTCACAGCAACCTCCAACTCTTGGGCTTAAGCATCCTACATAGCTAGAACTACAAGTGCCCGCCACAACACCCAGCTATTTTTTTGTTGCAGTTGTTGTTGTTTGGCAGGCCCTGGCGAGGTTTGAACCCACTAGCCCCAGTGTATGTGGCCAACATCCTAGCCACTGAGCTACGGGTGCCAGAGCATTTTACAGAGAAGGAAATTTGTTTCCAAGAGTTTAAATAATTCAAGATGTGCACAACTGGATAAGTGGTGGCACTGGGGGCTGGAACCCACGCCTCAAATCCTGGCCCTACCAACTCTGTGCTACCCACCACTTACTACACACAATATCCCTGAAGTCTCCTCACAACGGCCGTAATCTGTGTTCTCAGATTTCATTTCTTTAAAAGAAGAAAAAAAGAATAAACTAACAAAGTTCTCAATGCAAGACTATAAAAGAGATAAAAAAAAATTGCCTTCAAATTTCCCATTTTAAAGTCTTTTAAGATTTAAAGGCTTTTAGATGCCAATGGTGAGTGTAAAAATAAAATTAATACTATTTTTCTTTAAAGAATCAAGTCCCTCTTCTGCTTTCAACACAAAACAGGAAGCTTTATAAATAAATTCCTGTTTGAAGGATGATTCTCACAGGGTCAAAACTGCATCCTCCCAAGAGACCTAAGGGAACTAGACTCTCTTTGGGACTCAAAAAAGAATTGCTTTTGAGCTAATTCACTGGGGACCATTCCTGGTCCACTCAGGAACTATGGAAAATTCAATTCAAATTTATTAACATTCTGGAAACTAATTCTGTCACCAAAAGATCTGAGTGAATGTCCATAATCAAAATTCCCACTTAGTTTTTTAAAAATGAATTTCCAACCACAAAAATGGTCTTTTTCTTCCCAGAGTGGCTAACCTCTTTAGAATCTTTGTTCCATAGGAACATACAGTGTCCAACTCTGTGAATAAGGCCTTCAAAAGTTCCATAGGTCAGTTGTCTCAATAGATAGTTTATTTGAAATGGAATGCATTTTGAAAATACGAAAAATAAATCACATCTCTCCAAATCATTTAGGAGACATATTTACACAAATTCTGACCACACTACTAAGTTCACGAAGGTGATGATTCATCAAGCATTTGGTACGTGGTGGTGCTTGCTGTACAGAAGATGGTATTTGTGTATTTTTTAAGCAGAAGGCAGATCTTGGAATGTAACAGACAAAAGTTTTATGTTTGTTCTCAAATACAGTGGTCTGGAAGGTCTACCTAGTGTTAAAGCCTGCTTCCTCACTGCCCAGCATATCACCAGCCTTCAGCTGCACAGCAGTGGGGAGTAGGTCTCCCCAGCTTTTATGCAAATGGTTCTAAGAACAGAGTCCTTCTGGGGTGGCACCTGTGGTTCAAAGAGTAGGGCACTGGGCCCATACACTGGGGGTGGCGGGTTCAAACCCAGCCCCGCCAAAAACTGCAAAAGAAAAAAAAAAGAAAATGGAGTCCTTCTGCTCTGTTCTTTGGACAATAACATCCTTTCTAAGAAAACCCCGTGGGATCCTGTATTTCACTTGGCAAATGCCCCGCCAACAGTCACGATCACTTTGTCACCTAATCTTGTGTAAATCTGGATTGGCTCTTCAACATTGCAGGTCAAAAGCTACCCACCAAAACTGTGTCAAGAATTTAGGAAATAGTTCTCAAAAATCTGTCTACCATACTTTCACAATTAATACATCTTAGATTGCTTTAGGTAAACAGGTGTATTTCTTACGAATCGCTGATGGATTCAATATCAAGAACTATATTTTCCAAATTTAAAATTATTCTGAGGATATTTTATTGATAAAGCAAAACCCAATTCATTTGACACAAAAAAAGAAAGAAAAATGAATGTTCACAGTCCTGTCTCCATCCCACAAAGCTCTGTTCTAAAGGATTGCTCTGGGTTCAAGTTTTAGACCCCTCTCCTAAGCTGCTACTGAATACTAATATTGTTAACAACCAGACCCAAAGTAAAAAACCACCCGACTTTCTCTAGGGACAGAGAACAAGTGATGTACTTCAAATCATACACTTGCAGCAAACTTATTTAGTTGTCAGATTTAAAATTAGGGCTCTTTAAGAGAAATACTGAGTGAAGGAAAAAAAAGTTAATTAATAGGCTTTACAACTTAGGCCAGACCTGACAGTGTTTACACGTGTGGGAAACGCCTTTAAGCAATGTGTATGGTTTGGGTTTTATAAACAACCATTGGAAAAAATATATGAAGTGAAATTATAAAGTTAACTTAATTTCTACATGATTAGAGAATCCTAGCTTGTTTGATCAGGGAAATGTTCTTTCCAAAAGTGCTCCTTCTAGATATTTACTCTCTGGCCTCCGCACTCCCTATAGAGTATATGCAGATCTAAGCGTCCACTAAGAATGTGTAAGGAACTTTGTCATAATGCAAACTCAGCCTGTCCCAGAGTTAGTTGTTCTCAGCAAATGACAGGAGAGCCAAGTTTAGAAAGCAACAGTAACCACCGTCTAGGTGCAAGGGAGTTATACTTTTCATACTTCTTTCATTCCTTTGTCCCAACAGTCATTGCATGAGGCACGGTGCCAACACAAGTTTAAGGAGAAAAGTTCAATTTCCAGACAGAAAATTCCTGTTAATTTTTCAGCCTTTTATATTGTATCTTTATTCAAGGGATGATTTTTCTATTGGACCTGCTCTTACCTTCTTTGTCTTGGGTTAAAAGAAGTATTTTTTACCTATTTCCATGAGGTTGATTTGTCAGGCCTCAAAATACCCTAGGTCAGTGGTTCTCAACCTTCCTAATGTCGCCGTGGCCTTTAATACAGTTCCTGTGGGTCGTGACCACTGCCTTAGGTGTGATGTATCATTTTCTTACAAGTAGAATAGAGCCACTGAGACATTAAATGATGTGCATTTGTATTTTGTTTTGTTTAGTCTTGTGAAGCCTGCTTATTTTTTGCTCTGGAAAAATTATTAAACCATACTAAATTCAAAGTGGTGACAAAACGATTAAAAAAAAATCCTACTTCTTTCCGATTTCTGAGGTTTCACAGTTAAACGCTAAGAAGAGGTCAGACTAGAAAGTCATAAAAAGGGTCAAATGAACATAAGTATCACAGCAGACCAAGAAACAATGGGCACACAAAACCCAGAAACCATGATTCTAGTGGTCCCATTAGGAACCACAACCACTGTAGAAGAAAAAAAACCAATCTGCAGCCAAGAGGGAGCCTGGATGCAGGTAACAATGAAATTACCTGACCCTATGTGTAAGCTAACAACATACAAATGCCTTTTTGAAAACTTACATGAATCATAATTTTTAAAGTATTTAATATGGATTTTTATTTTCATATCATAAGAATTTTTTTAAATCCTCCATTTAAAAAAAGTTGTGGTTTAGTTAGGGTTATTAAGATCTGCATGTATTAGAACTGTAACATGTGCTATGACGCTTTCCCTAAAAAATACAGCAGTACTTCTAAGGAAGCTGCACCAAACTTAAGAAATCTTTAGATCTGGCTCTCTGAGCTGTCTCATATATATGCAACGAGTTTTTAAACCTTGGCAGCGTAGTTTCACACCTGCCACCTAAACAGCCACTAGAAGTGAGAGCCCACTTAACTGTTTGCCATTTGCTCAAGTTTTAATTTTCCCTGCAACTTTTTGGACAAGAGTTATGATCTCCAAATCTCATCATTTAAATACTGCACTAAAAAATTTGACCTTGAAACTCCCTACTAAATGGAAGAATAAAGACATCCCCAGCATGCAATTCTATTTCTATTTCTTGGCTACAGAACTTAGCAGTGGTCTAATACTGACCATTCCAATTTAAACCTGGAAAAACACTGACAAAGACTTTTGTGAAAAAGATAATGGAAAACAGAGACCAGTTAGTGAAGCCATGCAGATAGGAAGTGATTTTCAGCCCCAAGAGGATGTGGTATTATCTATGGCTCTTTTTAAACTTAAGTAGCATCTGCCCTCCTAGATTTTAACCATCCTTTTGATTTAACACAGAAGAGGGTTTGTTCTACCTTTAAAAACACATCCTCTTTTTTCCCCTACCATCCTCCTGAACAAGTGGCTGCCAAAACAAGACTGGGGTTGTTTTCTTACTGAAAATCCAGTATTTATCCAGTCCTTTCCTATTCAGTTTTTCTCACAGAGCAATAAAAAGCAAAACAGTTGGTTTCTCTGATAAACAACATTGGGGTATGAAAACAAAAAGTCATATGATTCCTACTCCTTTGAGATATTTACAAACTGTACTTTCAATGATGAGATACTTCAGTGTGCTTCTAGAATAAAGTAAAAAGATCAGAAAATGTGGTTCAAGTTAAGTGGGCAAAGCTCTTGGAGAAGGGTACTCTAGTCCGGACAGGGGTAAAATACTCTAAACCAGTTAAACGATTCTCTTTTCCCCCATGACATTTTTTAAATGAATCATCTAATGCATTCATATTCATAAATCAATCAAAGGGACTCTACTTATTAAACCCTTTACATACATATGATATAAGCAAGGTTTTTCTTACAGTATACCCAGCCCTAACACATATTCAAGATATGATCATTCCATCATCAGTTTGGTTATGTTTCAAAAATTTAGAAATCAGATAATCATTACTACTGATTTCATTTTAGAAAAACAATAACTTCAGCATTAGATTTTCATAATTACACAATTCTGAACTTTTAGCTTTTTTAAACTTCTACTCTATACAAACTAAGGAGGGAAAAAATTTTTAAAAAAAAAAGGAATATCAGAGTTTAATTTCAACCACCTGGCATAACAATGAAAGTGTCAGGCCTCCTGAAAATGCCCTAGGAATCATGAACGGATTCATGTTTTCCCCTTACGGCCCTTTCTCTTTCTTTCTTTCCAAGATTAGGACTCAGCAGGGAACAAGTTTTCGAAAATAAAGTTTCCTTTTTGGAAAATGACCTACATTCAGAAATGTCTTAGAACAAGCATTTTTTAAAAAACTAATAAATAATCATAAATCAAAATACATTAAAATAAAATTACAGTACATCATCGCTCCTACAAGGTCCACCATACTGGAAGATCCTTTCAAAGGTTCATAAATAAGTCTTCTCTACTTGAAGTCGTTTCCTGCATCGCAATGAAGAGTACGCAGAAAACTAAGAATCACGAGTATTAGTTTTCAGTAGGGTGATGTCCAAACTACAAGATCTGGCGCCGGGTGGGGAGTCTTTTGTTTTTGATCCAAGCGAAGACAATAGAAATATGCTCGGCCCACCTCCTCAAGTCCTCGAAACCTGTATAGAAATAACAGCAAATGAAGTCGGTGGCTCGGAGTCCTAAGACCCAGTTGTGTTCGGCACACCGGGCGGACAAAGCGCACTCAGGAAGCACCCGAGGTCGACGCCTTCAGCGCGCGGACACGCAGCTGGGCGCGCAGGGCGGCCGGGCCGGGTGCGAGGATGTCTGAGCCGCCTCCCCGCCCGGCCCAGCTTCCCAGCCTCCCTTCTCTCACCGAGCCCCCCTGCTCCAGTTGCTTCCCTTCTTTCCATCTTCCCAGAAACTTGGAATGATCTCTCACTCCCGGGCGCAAACTTCCCACTCCTCCCATCCCCCCACACGCCCGCAGCCGGAGTGGCGGGACCTCACCTTGCCTGGCCCCGGTGCTGCCCCCTTCAGGCAGAGTTGGAGGTGCTGCGGAGAAGCCGGTGGCCGTGCGGCTGCGAGTGCGGTTGTTGGTGCGGGTGCGGAAGTTGGTGGGGGTGAGAGTGCGGATGCGGGTGGGGGTGCGGTTGAGAGTGCGGGTGTGGATGTGGATAAGGATGGAGCTGCTGGGGCTGAGGTTTGGGTTGGGGCTGAGGCTTGGGCTGGGGCTGAGGCTGCTGGGGGTGGGACTGGGGCTGCAGCTGGGGCTGGAGCTGCGGCTGGGGCTGGAGCTGCGGTTGTGGCTGCGGGAGCTGCGGTTGTGGCTGCGGGAGCTGCGGTTGTGGCTGCGGGAGCTGCTGCTGCGGCTGCGGAGGCTGCTGCTGGACCAGGTGCTGCTGCTTCTGCCGCGTGGACTTGACCGCCAGGATAGCCTGACGATTCTTGTACTGCACCATCTGCAGCGTGATCTCGGCGTTCCAGCCCTGGTCCTGTGGGCAGCGAAAGTCGATCTCTTTGCCCTCAGCCATCACCACAGTGAAGTACATATACTTGCCCTTGCGCTCCACGCAATCCACGGTCTTCATGTTGGAAAAGTGCAATTCTTTGAGCTTGACCGGCGGCTCAAGGCCGGCGACCGGGGCGCCGCTGGGTTGGGACGGCTCGGCCTGTCCCTGCCCAGGCTGCTGCTGCTGCTGCTGGTGTTGCAGCTGCTTGGGCGGGATGAGCAGCAGCCCCTCCTCGGTGAGGATGCAGCACTTTTTCTTCCAGAGCTGCAGCAACCCGTCGCTGCGCTTCTCCAGCACGCCCTCCTTCAGCGCCTTGCAGCCGCTGCTCTCCAACATCCTCCCAGCATAGAGGGGACCGCCGCTCGGCTCGGCCTCTCCGCTTCCCGCCGCTCGGGCCGGGGGCAGCAGCAACAGCCGCGCGCCGTCCTCGCCCCAGCGGCTCCCACGGCCGCCCGCCCGGAGCGCGCAGAGGAGGCTGACCCGCAGGAGGCAGAGCGGCTGCGGCGGCGCCGGGTCCGGGCAGAGGGACAGCCGCGTCCTGAGGTGCCGCCACAAGGTCCCGCAGCCGCGAGCCGCCGGGCCTCTGCCGTCCTCTTGCGAGCGCTCACTGAAGGGCACTGGCCGGGCCCCCTCGCGGCGCTTTTGAATGGGCCATCTTCCCCACCCCCCAGTGACACCCAGCGGAAAAGGCGGCTCCTGGCGCCCGAACCGCGAGGGAAAGCCCAGCTCCGAGAGGCTCCCGGCCGCCGGCGCACGCCTCATTAACTTGGGGCCTCTCCGGAGCGGCCGCGTCCACGCCCCCCGCGTCCCTGGCTCCGCCTCGCGCCGCCCCCTCGCTTCCGCGCTCCTGCCCCGGGAGGGCGGCGGGAACCAAGCCCGGAAACTCCTTTCCTACACCCCGGCGACCGCCGAGGGAGCCCTGGCTGCCTGGCGACCGGTGCCGACGCCCGGTGGGCTTTGAGAGGCCATCCCCCGTCCCGCCTCGGCCCGGCCGGCGGGCTCTCCGCTAACCGCCTCGGAAAGTGAGCGTGGGCTGCGAGGAGGGTGCAACCGCCGGGAGTGCCTGCAGCTCGGCTGCCTCCCGGAGCAGTGTCCTGTCCTCAGCCGGCTGGGAGGCCGGAATGAGGCTTTCCAGCCGCAGAGTCCGCGGAACCGAGCCTCCCGGGAGGCCTAGGTAAACATCTCAAAGCACAGAGGCCGGGAGAACAGCGTGTCTTCCCTCACACGCACGTTCGCTCACGGTCATTAAATAACGAGACGGATTGCGTTACGGTCTGTCAATTCGGAAGGGGGGTGGGGAAGGTGGACCCACTTTAAAGTGTCATCTCGCCTTTCTTTCCTCGGCCCTGACCGCAGGCACTAGGCCTGCCTTCTGCACCGAAACACAGCTCCCGAGCTCCCTTCTGGACCGGTCTGCACATCCTCCAAACCGGGGAAATAGCCGGTGCTAAGATGCCACACTTCAAGACAGAGTTCCACACGCGAATCGGCCTCTGCGGGTCCTTCTTTCCAAACGCCTAGCCAGATTTCTGTTCTGGAATCTCATTTACTTCGATCCCAGCTCCCTCCTCCTACCTTTAAACTTTCTGTAGAAGGTGCCTTCTAGAAGTAAGGCAGAATAAACGGCATAAACGGAGACCTAGCCTCCTGCTGGGGAAACTCGCCCATTGAGTAAACGGGGAGCCCAACTACCTACCAGCTCTTATGAGGATATTGAGAAGATTCACGCGAAGAAATCAACTAGGGGAGGATGCGTCAGTTAGCCACGGTTAACTTGGAAAGATTGCTACTGTGCCCAAAGTGGAAGAAGGGGGGAGTTGTATATCTTGAACCAAGAATTAAAGAGGAGGAGAGAGATGTGCTTGGAGAGCAGAGCAAGAGTCAAATCCTTTCCGTGTCATGTTAAGAAATTCAAACTTAATCCCAAAGTAATCAGAATAAAGGATAATTTAAACACAAGAGGGTCTTGATTCTTAATCTAAGGAATATCAGCTGATTAAACTGGACATTTCTAGCAATCCGGAGTCCCACTAAACTGCCCTTGACCCGATCTCAGAGCCTTCACATCGCTAATGAATTAGCAGTCATTTCAGTAGAAAGGCAATTAGTAAAGTTGTGTAGATTTTTAGTAAAGTTGTTTTTAAAATATTTACAATTCTATATACCAGTGACAAACACTAACCTAACATCTGTTTCTCTCCCTGCCTTTGCAGGGCAAGTGAGCATTCCAGAGAATTTCTACATGACCAGCTGTTCATCCTTTTAACAGAATGACATTCTTCAGCTCATCTGGAAAGTAATTATACTTCCTTCAACTCTGTTAATTCAGAGTCACTGAAGGCAGGTTTCGTTGGGAAGGTTATTTCATATGGAAAAGCACACATTTAAGGTAAAAAACGAGATACAGTCCAGAAGAACAAGTCATTTCTGTTATGAAGAAAATGTTTAACAACTGCCTTCTAACTTATTTGAAAATGTCTAAACAGCAATATTCAAAAATTAGTTATAACTTTAAAACTCAGAATTTCCAGTTGGGTATTTCACAACAATTTAATAATTTTGTGAGCAGCTCAGAGGTACAATGTGCCCCCCCACCACAGTACATTATTGGAAATCTCAGCAGTGTAAGAATCTTATAGATTGGTGACAACTTTACTCCTCAGTCACCAACTCATTAAAATGGCCTTATTTGCCTATTTTTTAAACAATGAAATAAATTCACAGAAATTCATTACAGGAAATAGATATTTAAGAAAACTATGGCTGTATATATAATGAAAATCTACAAATGTTACTTAAAAGTTTAGAAAACTAAGCTCGACGCCTGTGCCTCAAGCAGCTAAGGCACCAGCCACATACAACTGAGCTGGCAGGTTCGAATCCAGCCAAGGCCCACCAAACAATGATGGCTGCAACCAAAAAATAGCCGGGCATTGTGGTGGGCGCCTATAGTCCCAGCTACTTGGGAGGTGGAGGAAGGAAAATGGCTTGAGCCCAGGAGTTGGAGGTTGCTGTGAGCTGTGATGTCACAGCTCTCTACCCGGGGCGACAGCTTGAGGTTCTGTCTCCAAAAAAAAAACATTTAGAAAACTAGTTGGCTGGGCGCCTGTGGATCAAGCAGCTAAGGCACCAGCCACATACACCTAAGGTGGCAGGTTCGAATCCCCAGCCCAGGCCCGCCAAACAACAATGATGGCTGCAACCAAAAAATGGCCAGG